TGGACTCAAGCAATCCTCATACCTCAGCCTCCCAAAGTGAGGGCCAGGTTTTTTGTACGTAATATTCTATATATTCTTCTGTGTACTTGAAAACTGCACTCACCAGCATCATCAATCACGTCCTAATTGCTAGCCCACTGGATGTTTGGTGGTTCTCTGGAATATCTCTGCGGTATGCTCCCCTGCTCACCGTGTCTTCTTTTTCACCCTGTCCTCCCTACTACATGCTGAGCACTGCCTGATGCTGGAGATAGAGCAGTGAACAAGACAGATACAACACCTGCCCTGCCCTCATGGAGCTTAAAGTCTAGCAGGAAAACAGATCAGTCAGCAAACAATTTTCACTCAATTGATAAGAGCTACCATCAGCTCCTTTTAACCCCTCCTTCCTGGATTTGTCCAGGTAGCTTTCAGCCAATCCCTTTCCTCAAAAAGGTACCTGTTTCATGTGTCCTGATCTTTCCTTGTCCTCCCTTAAGGGGCCTTGTGGGTTCCCAGTCTGGATGACAGTGACCCAGACTACAAATATTTGCTAAGATCAGGAGATCTAAGGAGCCCTTGAAGGGAGCCTATGACCCAGCTTGGTAAGATCAGGGAAGGCTTCCAGGAGGAAGGGATGCCTAAGCAGCTGAGACCTGAAGAATGGGCAGGTGAAGCTGGGAAGAAAGAATGATCCAGACAGAAGAGATGCATTTGCAGTGGCTTAGAGATTAGAGGCTGGTTCAAGGCAGCAGACAGGCATGGCTGGGAGCTGCGTGGGGGAATGGAGAGAGAGGAGTCTGGAGAATTAAGCAAAAGCCAATTGTGTGACAACCGGAAAGGCTCCGGTAAGAAGAAGAGAGCCATTGGTGGCCAGGCACAGTGCCTCATACCTGTAATCCCTGCACTTTGGGAGGTTGAGGTGGGCAGATCACTTGAGTTCAGGAGTTCAAGACCAGCCTGGCCAACATGGTGAAACCCTGTCTCTACTAATATTACAAAAATTAGCCAAGTGTGGTAGTACACGCCTGTTATCCTAGCTACTTGGAAGGCTAAGACAGGAGAATCGCTTGAACCTGGGAGGAGGAGTTTGCAATGAGCCAAGGTTGTGCCACTGCACTCCAGCTTGGACGACAGAGTGAGACTCCATCCGAAAAAAAAAAAAAATAGCCCATTGAAAGGCTGTGAGCAAGGAAGTAATAAGGTCAGATTTGCAGTTGACAATGATCCGAGTCTTGGCTTTCTTATCTATGAAATGAGGCTAAGAATAATAAAATAGAGAATTAAATGAGATAATGTCTGCAGACAGTGCCTGGCATATAGCTTATTATTCTTCCAGCTAAGAGGCCCTTCCATTTGCGAAGTTTGTGAGGTCTGTATTACAATCATATTCAGTTATAGCTAATTATTTACTTATGTAGCTATCTCTGAAACGTAGAAATGAAATCATTGAGGAAAAAGGCCATTTCTTGATCCTGTCTGTGTTCTCTGTTCCCAGCAGAAAGCCTAACACATTTTAGGCTAATGTCACCGAGCAAAGAAAGCATCAAAGTGGCGGGTCGGGCCCTAAGCCCACGATCGGCCACAAGAGGGCGCATCACGTTTTCTCCAAGGGAAGCGGGGCTGCTGATGAAGGACGGGTTCCCGGCCACCCAGAGACACTTCACCTCCTGGGATCTTGCTCTAAGGAAGCCCGGTGCGAAGGAGGTGGCTTTCTCAGGTGGTCGCGCTAGATGTCCAAGGCTTTATGTTCGGTCAGATGAGCTATATAATAAAATGAAAGTGTTAACTGGCATGGACGATAACTGCCGCCTCCACCGCCACTAGTCGTGACGGTTTTTACTCTGGATGTTTTTCAATTGGAAAAGCAAACTCCACCTTTTCCTGAGCCGCTCGGATCTTTGTGGAAGTGGGTGGGCTGCACATATACGGGACGGATTCGTATAGGCTTGCACCCTGGTTCCGAATTTTGCAAATATTCGCAGTCTGGGTCACTGTCATCTGGACTGGGAATCCCCAAGACCCGTTAAGGGAGGGCAGGTAAAGATGATGACAGGTGAAACAGGTACCTTTGAGTTGGAGGAAAGGGATTGGTTGAAAGCTACCTAGACAATTCTGGAAAGGAAGGGTTAAAAGGAGCCGGCGGGTGAAGGAGATGCAAGGAGATAGCGAGGAAAAGGCAGGCGTGGAAGAGGAAACGAAAGGGCTGGCGGGGCTCTGGGAAGGAAGGGGTTAACCCCGGCTTCGCCCCCGGGAGGAAAGGGACGCGTGAACACAGGGGAGGTGGGATCTCGGCGCAGCCTCCCCAAAACAACAGGCCGCTCAGGCAAAGCGTGGGTTAAGGGGGCGGGCCTGGAGGGAAGCCACGTGCCGGGGCGGAAAGCTATTGGGTCTCCCGGAGTTGTTTGTGAGTGGCCATTGGCGACGTCGAGGCGCCACGAAGAGCCGATTGGCTGGGCCTTGGAGTGCTCGCCAGGGCAAGGGTAGGGAGGAGGCGGCCGAATCGCGTCGCTGGGCCGAACGGTGCGCGAGCGCTGCCAGCGCAGGGACCACAACCCGAGTCGCGGCCGCCGCAGCCATGCGCTGGGTCTGGGCGCTGCTCAAGAATGCGTCCCTGGCTGGGGCGCCCAAGTACATAGAGCACTTCAGCAAGTTCTCCCCGTCCCCGCTGTCCATGAAGCAGTTTCTGGACTTCGGTACGGAGTGGGCGGGAGGCGGCTGGCAGCGGAGGCCCGCGGGGCGCTGGGAGGGGCAGCCGGGGGCCAGGGGGGACAGAGGAGAAGAAAGGCCCCGAGTGACAGAGAAGGGTTGTTTGGAAAGGTACAGACAGGAAAGAGTTAATGGGGAAGGAGGGACCGGCCGGGGCCTCTCGACTGGGCTGTTGATGGGAATGGGGGGGCACTTACCAGGACGGTCCCGAGGTTTCTTCCTTGGCTTCATGGGGGGTCTTGAAGAGTTAGGGGCAGTGAAGCTGCGATATTACTACAGGAAGGGAGTAGGGTGGTATCCAGACGCTAAAAGGTTAATGGGAGTTGTCCTCATGACTGGAGGAGTAGGAGCCCCTCCTCCCACCAGAGGAAACCGGGGGTCTGTTGGTGGGAGTGAGGAGGCAAGGTTGAGAGGTGCAGCCGTCTGGAGAGAGACCTGGACTGGGCACGAAGGGTTTCAGACACCCCTGGGCAGTGGGGAAGGGGGCTCTTTCAGAAGATGCCAGCGGGAGAGAGTGCCCTGACTGGTAGGCATCCACCCACAGAAGAAGCTGGACCCTAGCTGCCCCAGTAGGCAAGGACACTTGAAGATCAAATCTGTTCCGGCCTGGCAGCCTCTCCCGAGCTGGGCAGGGGCCCCAGGCACCGTGATGTGGAGTCAAGCCGCCTATACCTCCCTTGGCTGCCCCAGGGTTGCTAGGTCAGGATCGCCCACTACCAGTATTCTGGGGGTGGCCCTGGGGCAGGAGGGAGGCTGTGCCAATGTGGCGGGTGAAACGGGCATTGTGTGGGCCCTGTCTGTCTACGTGTTATTTCCATGGTGCCAGCTGGGAACTGCGGGTGGGGGGCAGTTTCTCAAGAGTTGAGTTGATAGTGCCTGGCTTGGGGTGCAGCTGCATCAATGGTGCGACGGGAGCAGGGAGGTGGCAGCCGAGACACAGGGCACCTGTTCCTCAGGACTCATCTGCCTGCACCCCTGCCCTGTCTGAGTCTTGAGCCTCCCCCATGTAGGAAAGCCTCCTGGGCCCACTCCTAGCCCCCAGCCGCTGTCCCCACGAACTGCACCCTCATTACAGAAACACCACAGCTGTTGGGGGCTCACAGTACAGTTTGGTCAACTTGTAGTTTTATGGGAGAAACTGAGACCTTCAAAAGGATGATGGCATGGCCTGGGTGACAGAGTTGCAAGCAGAGCCTGATGAACTGGAACCCAGGGCCTCTGACCCTGGGCCAAGGCCTTATTCGGGCCCCCACCCTCTCCATCTTGATGCCAGACAAGGACCGTGGCATTTGGACTCCTGTTCTTGGGCCCATTTGCCTCATGGATGGGCATTAAGACACAGCAGCCCCACATGGGCATTCAGGCCAGGCTGGGTGAGGTGGGCTGGCCAGAGACAATATTGGGACACCACAGTGGTGGTCTGGCCATAGTCCCCCTCAGCCAGAGCCCAGTCCTAGGCAGGGATGGGTTCCCCAGGCTCCTTTGCCTCCGGGATCAGCCCCTCAAAGTGAGTGTGCTGGGAGGGGAGGAAAGAGAAGTGAGGTGACTGAGGCCAGAGGCATTTCCAAATGGGCCCAGTAGTGGTCCTGTCCACTGTGGTTAAAGGCAAGCAGGGTTCAGCTGGGGGTGAGGAGAGGATGCCACCCCCTGGAGTGTTAGGCACAGGGTGTAGGTGTTTGAGCCCTGCAGGGGATGGGGAGCCTTGCTGTGTGCCCCTGGGCAGGTCAGTTGCTCTCTGAACCCCCAGTTAATGAAGGGTTTAGCTGACCTGGTCGAGACATCCTTTGGCTTTCATAGTTTGTGGCTCTGTGGCTCACGTCTCTTTCTCCTGTCAGGATCCAGCAATGCCTGTGAGAAAACCTCCTTCACCTTCCTCAGGCAGGAGCTGCCTGTGCGCCTGGCCAACATCATGAAGGAGATCAACCTGCTTCCCGACCGGGTGCTGAGCACACCCTCTGTGCAGCTGGTGCAGAGCTGGTGAGACCCCTGGCTCCGTCCCTGCACCTCCCACTCCATCGCCAGTGTGCCTAGGCTCAGGGATGGAGTCTCCAAGCTTTTAGCAGCCTTGAGGGTGGGGTGGGGACAGACAGGAGACACCAAAGCCCCAAGAGCTTGGAGTTGCCTAGGGTCACATGGGAATCTGAGGCCAAAGCAGGACTGAGGTCAGGCTCCTAGTCTCCATGTGTAGCCCTCTTACCACCCACCTTTCTTTGGAAACCCAGAATCCACCCAGGAAAACATGGTTTTCACAGCCAAAACCCCAAGTTAGGCTGATGTCAGCGTTAGCTACCAGCCCAGTGCTGGAACTCGAGTGGCTGTTAGGCAGTATTTATTTGGGGGTAACTTTTTGGGAAACAGAAACAAGAAGCAAGTTTTCAAATAAACTATACAACCCAAGCTGCAAGATAGACTGTTTTGGATGTTGGAAAATACTCAGATACACACAGGGATGGCACAGTGCCTTCCCGCAGAGCTTTGGAGGGGCAAAGACCAAAAGTGTATTGCGCACTGCAGCAGGAACAGAGGGAAAGGCTCAGCAGGCTTCACGCAAGAGCTCAAGTAACTGGATGAAATTAGCCAAAGGCCAGTCACATGAAGAATAAACAAGGGTGTCCCTTGTCACTGGGCATGTAAAATAGCTAATCCTCATTGACTTTGGTGGCACCCGTGCGGAAATCTTCTGTTGGTTCTTCTGGACTTGCAGTATGATATGGCTGTGATTTCCTTGTAGACTCAGGAGCACGTACCCACATGTACTCTGAGCCTAAAGCCATGCGAAGTCACAGCAGCTGCCCTCAGGGGCCTGTGATCTGGAAGGAAAAATAATACGCAGGCAGGGTGAACTGAGTCCAGCATAGTGCTAGGAGCAGGGAGCTGCCGAAGAGTGCGTTTTATTTAAATTAGGAATCCAAACATTATTTTAAAAGAATATTGATACTTTTCCTTTATTGTGGAAGTATAACAGGGTCACTTGACACTTGGAAAACGCAAAATAGTAGATAGAAGAAATTGCCAGCCACTCCCCTCCACCCCCTAACGGAACACAGCTCAGTTTCATCAGATGTAGTGGTGCCTTTCTGCACTGTTTTCTATGCACGGACCTGTGGATATGGGGCTTATTGTAATTAAATGAGATATGGTGAGGGGTAGTGTTGTACACACAAGGCCAGGAGTGTAGTGGATACACCATGAATGTTTGTTGAATGACACGTTGTGGGGCAGTTGCCATGGACATGCAGAGGAGGTGGCTTGTCACTGGACCTTACAGGGTACCTAGGCAAGCTTAGAGCTACAAGGAAGGGAAGGGCATTCCAGGCTAAAGGAATAGGCTGGGCAAAGGTGTGGAGACAGGAAGGGGCCTGGCTAATGTAGCTGGGAACTGACTTTCTGGAGATTGTGCTGTTAGTGTGGGCTGTGAAGAAGGGGCGGAGGCATGAGGCACAGAGCCTGATTTTCATGGAACCCAACCAGGTCACCCCTTGCTGTGCCCTGCCTCTCGGAGGTCCAGGACCTCTGAGCCAACCAACACTTCCCACCGTGGGTGGTGTGGAGTGGTGGGAAGGAGACAGAAGGTGCCATCTGTTCTCCCTGGCCCTCCTCTGGCTCTATCCGGCTGCCTGACCTGGCTGCCTCTCCACCTGGTCCCTGACTTCAGGGCAGAACTTCTCAGGCCCCTCCCTGGACACCGTGTTCCTGGGAGAGCTGAGGGATGCAGGAGGAGGGCACTGGGCTGCTGAGCTTCCCATGACTCCCCCAGGGGCCCCTGCAGAGTCCCTTCCTGAAAAATCAGTGACGCAGATAAGGGGTTGGCCTGACATTCTTCCACAAAGCTTGCAAGTAATGTCAAGTAACAGTGGGAGGGAATGAAGTTAGACAAGAGAGAACACTTCCTCAATGAAAGATTCAGCTTAGAGGAGAGCAGGCCGAGGGATTGCTAAAGCATCCCAACATGCTGAAGAGACAGCCTGCCAAGAATGTTTCCAGAGAGAGTGAGCATTGGCTGCAGCAAGAGAGACTGCAGTGTGAGGACAAGAAGGACTTCCCGACAGGGTTGAGGTGGCTGCCTGTGAGAGAGTGGAGACCTCTTTCTCCAGGAGGAACAGCCTGCCAGCTGGAACGATGGAGGTGGGCAGGTTCTAGGTGCCTGAGAGGAGGAAGGGAGACTTTACCAGGGAGCTTGGCAAGAGGGCCTCTAGCCTGAGTCTGATGAGTAAGGAGCAAACCCTCTTTTCTGGAAAACACAAGAACCCTCAGCAGATGCAGTTATTAGTGGTCATGGTTCATCTGTGGTCACAGAAATGGAGTTTCTACTCTGCTGGGGAGAGGTTCTAGGCAGAGTCACTGTGGGCAAGCTGAGAATTCCTGGTTCTAAATAACCCTGATACGTTATTTCAACTGGACAGACTTGCGATAGTGGGCCCTGTTTTGGTGGAGACTGGACTGGGAGGGAAAGTCCCAGGTTTGGCCTCGGCATGCGTGACTTTGAAGCTTCATCCTGGGCAAGCCATATGGCATCTCTGAGCCTCAGCTTCCTCATCTGTAAAATGGGGACCCATTGTGTTTGTAAGGGCCAAGGGCCAGTGCTAAATGTGAAAAGTGTGCAGAACTCTACCAACACAAGCCACGTCCCCAGGCTGCCAGGCAGCAACACCTCCAGCCCACAGATGATGTAACTGTGGTGTGGTTTCTTGGGCAAGGTAGTAATAAATTATGATAATGACAAAAGCAAACACCTCCAAAGGCTGGCTGTGTCCCAGGAGCTGTCCTAAGTGTCTACACATATTAACTCATTGCATCTTCACAACCTTATGAGGTAGTCCTTGCTATCATCCCATTTTCTAGATGAGAAACTGAGGTTCAGAGAGGTGAAGAAAACTTATCTGAGATCACTCAGTGAGTAGATGGTGGAGTTGGGATTTGAACCCAGCTGTTATATGGAGACTGGATTCTTGAAGGGAAAGAAGGGAGCCTGCGTTCTGGGCGGTGATGTGGAGTCAGAGATTTCCAAGTTCATGTTGCAAGTCTGTGGGAGAGCAGAACTCACTTTACAGAATTGTTGACAGCTGGTGTTGTTAGAGACCGAAAGGAACAACCCCGTCTCCTCTCCAGGCATGGAGTCGTGGGGATGTGCTTCCAGAAAATGCAGGGTTAAGCAGGAGCCGCCGAGTAGAATCAAATGACAATGACTCACTGCTATCACTAACAGGATATTTGTGGGGGCTGTAGGTGGGAGGTGATATGGCCGGCACCTTCGCACAAACCTCCCTTGCTTGTCAGCAAGGTGTGTGGACCCCACACAGAGGGTGTGGCTTGGGTGCCCAGGACCTGCTAAAGCCAGATGAGCTCTCCAAATCCGTCAGCTGCTCCTTGCATGGCCGGAGCAGAACCGACCACTTACTACGCATGTACTCGAGGCATCATCTCCTTTTCTGTACACCCAGGCCCACGAGGTGCTTATTCCTGTGAACCCCATTTTGCAGATGGGGACCTGAGGGACTCGGTGGCCTCTTTAGGGTGCAATCAGCAGCGGAACCCAAACCTGCCTGGCTCAGAGGCTCCGGAGGCAGGACACCGCCACCTCTCCCCCAGGTGCAGCGAGCACCCCCTCCCCAGCCTTTCCCTTGTTCACACCCTGCTCGCCAGCAGCTGTGGATATGAGTGCACAGGGCACACCCTCACACACACCCACAGGCACGCACATGCCACATGCACACAATTACACACACTCGCCCGCTGGCTCAGCACCCCCTCTGCTCCCACACGGGGCTGCAGGGCCCTCCTCCCATACTCGCTCACCCTCTGCTCCCGCCCCCACCGCCCATTCTCAGCCCCACACTCTCACCAAGGCCCCTCGCTTCTGCATGCATCCCACACCTCCTCCTTCCCAATCCTGGGGCTCTAGACTGGTTCCGGAGCCCTGGAAAGCAGGGTTTGGGTGGACCTCCACATTACCTTGGGCTGGGCTTGGGAGCTCCGAATCTCACCAAGGGACTCCTGGGGGCCTTGATTACTGTAGAGGTCAGCAGGCCCAAAGACCCCAGCCTCCCTGCAGGCCCGGGGAGGGGTTGGGGCAGTGCCTCTCCCGTCTGTTGGTGCCTCTCTGTCACTGCACCACTGCTTTCAGGTCTCCCTTATATATTCTGTCTGGCCTGCAAGGGGTGGGCAGCCCAGAGGCCAACACCACTCATCCCCAATCTCTCTTCTTAGGACCAAGAACCGGCCCAAGGGTGACATTTGGTGTACCAGGCCCCTAAGGGGCTTCAGGGCAAGGCCAGGGACCTCTGGGAAAATCCTCATCCTCTCCCCTCCATTTTAAGAGTAGCCTGGGCCCCCTGCCCTGGAGGAGCCCTGGCCCTGTGAGAGAGGCTGGCAGGCGCTGCCCGCTGTCACTCCATGCCAGTGCCCTTTGCTCCACTTCAGTGGCCACATGACCAGGTCCCATTTCTGCCCTCTAGGGTTGTTGAGCAGCCACAAAAGGGGTGGTGCCAGCAGCTGGGGCACTCTCCCTAAGTGAGACTGGGACTTTGACCGTGCCCACCCCCACCCACCGACCAGCACAGTCAGGAAGTGGCTTAGCCTCCCAGCTCCCACCTGCTTCATCCCCACCTGCCCCCTGGGAAGGGGTCCCAGGCCCCACACTGCAGTGGGTCTCCTCTCCCTCCTCTCCCCACCTGCCCCTAGCACTGCCTGCATGCAGGCCCTCTCTCCCCTAAGAATTATATGAGCATGAAGGTCTATCCTGGGTGCATTTAGGGAGCAAGGGATTCGGAGCCATGTGGGCCTGGGAGAGAGAATCTCAGCTCTGCGTGTTAACTTCCTCATCTGTAAAATGGGTCCAGCAGTAGTGCCTACCTCCGGGGTTCTTGCGGAGGTGAAAGTGGGGCAGGAGGGAAGCACAGGGTGGACCTGGCCATTGGTACCCAGTAAATGCCACCATCACCATCAGCAGCAGCATCACCGTCAGGGCCAGTGTCGGCTGTTGGCCACGTGGTGTAGACTTGGAGTCTGCGAGAGCTGGGTTTGAATCCCAGCCTGCTGCTTACTGTGTGGCCTGGGGCATATCACCTAACCTCTCAGTGCTGGTCTCATCTGCAAAAAAAGGGAAATACCTTGTGTTCATCAGGGCTGTTGGCAGAGGAGAGACCCTGTGTGGGACTCGGCACAGGTGGGCGTTAGTGGTCGCTATGTTATTCTCCAGGGAGACAGGTCTTAGGAGTGCCAGCCTGATCATCTGCTGGGTGGGGTGGCAGGGATGGTGTTGGGGGCTGAGATGAAGGCTGATCTTTTCTGCTGTCAGGGCCCCCAGCGCCCTCAGCAGCCACAGCTCCTCCTCTCCGGCTCTGTGCAGAGCTCTGGGTAGGGAGGGGTGGGCGGTTAGCTCTGGGCCTGAGACAGCCCCCTTCCTGTGGCAGTGGGGCAGGTCTCCAGGGCATAGGGGCTCAAACATGCTGTGGTTCAGAGCCTACAAGCAGTGGGAGAGTATCAGATGCCGCCTGGGGGCTCAGAGGATGCACGCAGCTGTCCACGATGTTTGAGCCACCAGCCATAATAAGAGCAAGCATTTAGAGTGCTCACTATGTGCTAGGCACTGTGCTAATCATCACATGGAATTCTCACTGCAAAGCAGTAAATACGTATCACAATCCCCATTTTCCTAACGAGCAAACTCAGGCCCACAGAGGCTCCTTGACCTACCCAGGGCCACACAGCTCCTGGTGCTTAAAGAGCCAGTTCTGGGTCCAGAGCTCGTTCTTTCACTCTCTTCTCTGCCAGGCAAGAGTGAGAGCAGCAGACGCTAGGTTTAAGGGGAAAGGCATTCCTAGCAAGGCATTCACAGTGCAGAGGGCACTGTGTGAACAGAAGCGTGGAGGTGAGAGTCGAGCAGAATCAGCACCCTGGGGTGGCAAGAGCGCTGGAGACTCGGGGCTTCCTCATCCCACTTACTAGCCATGGGGCCTCTTCACGCCTCCCTGGGGGAGGCTGTGCGTGGGACTGATTCCTGCCTGACGTACCTGTTCAGGTTACAGTGAAGGTCAGAGCACTGTGGACGTGGGAATGAGTCCTCGTGTGGTAGGGCCTTTTCTAGAAACACTGTTGGGCCCCTGGGGCCCTCGCCGCTGCAGGGCTCTAGGCAGCCCCCCCTTCCTCCTGGTTATAAGTGTTTCTGCCAGAGAGAGGCTCTTCCTGCCCTCCCCAAAGGAACAAGCCACAGACTGGGCATGTTAGCAGGGAAACAGGTCATGGCTCCCCAGGGCATGGGGCACAGTGGCTCCAGCTCGGTACCATCTGCCACCACAGGTGGGCCTGACTCCCTTGCAGAAGGAGGCCTGCTGCTGTCCCTGAGTTCAGGGCTTCTTTTTTGGGGGGGACAGAGTCTTGCTCTGTTGCCCAGGCTGGAGTGCAGTGGTGCGATCTCGGCTCACTGCAGCCTTTGCCTCCCCAGTTCAAGCAATTCTCCTACCTCAGCCTCCTGAGTAGCTGGGATTACAGGCATGCGCCACCATGACCGGCTAATTTTTGCATTTTTAGTAGAAACAGGTTTTCGCCATGCTGGCCAGGCTAGTCTCCAACTCCTGACCTCAGGTGATTTACCCGCCTCCGCCTCCCAGAGTGCTGGGATTACAGGTGTGAGTCACCACACCTGGCTGAGTTCAGGGGTTCTTGATGCTTCTTTTAGAGCATCAAGCTCTTCTCGCAGCCAAGGGAAAACTGGCCTCCCCATCAGGCCTGTAGATGGGAGGGGCGGCAGGGCATCACCTACTCCTACCCGGCCTTTTGCAGGAGAGTGAGCTTCTCTGGACTCTCTATGGGCCCCAGCCCCACCTGGGGACAGAGCCAGGCACACCTATCCCAACTTTGGGTCCTTCCCACCTGCCATTTTAGAATCCAATTGCCTAGGCAGGTGCCTGGCCCAGAGCACCCCAGCTCAGGGGTCATTCTGGGAGGCCCTGTGCTGGCCACTCTGTCAGGGGTGACTCTGGGAGGCCCTGTGCCGGCCCCTCTGCCATTGTGTCCCACTGGATGCAACAGTACCCCGGGGGGAGAAACATTAGGAGCCGTTTCCACGCTGGGGTTCAGAGAAGTTGATGCACCTGCCTGCCTTCCCCCACTGCAGGCGCTAGGTCCAGTCTCCCCACCCCATCTCAGCCTCAGTCTCCTGATCTGTGAGGCCTCTTGGATGGGATCATCTCCAAGCCCCTTCTGAGAGGACTATTCTAGGATTCCAAAGCAAAGGTGCTAAACGGGGGACCAGCACATTTGAAGTTTTCTTGCATAACTGACTGGGTTGTCAGGGAGACTCACATACAAATGAAATGGATGAAGAAAAATAGTGAGGCAGCTTGTGGGCAGCTCTGTGTGGGGCCCGCATGGGAGCAGGACAAGAGCGAGGCCCAGCTGAAATGGGTGAGGAGGGGCTAGCCACCTGAAGCTGAGGCTGTGTCCCCTCCCGCCCCCACACAGGTATGTCCAGAGCCTCCTGGACATAATGGAGTTCCTGGACAAGGACCCCGAGGACCATCGTACCCTGAGCCAGTGAGTGGGGGCCCTGGGTGGGGAAGGAAGGCAGGTGTTGGCCAGGGGCATCTGGGGTTGCAGCCCCTGGGGCAGAAGTACAGCAGGATGGAAGAAAAGACGCCTGCCCTCAGGAACATCCAGTCTGAGACGGCAGACAGACTCTGCTTCAGGGAGCCCCAAGTTTGATGGGAGAGACATGGACTCCATTCTCACTGTTCCCTGAGCCTGGTGGGCAAGACCCAGGCCCTGCCCTGGGGAAGATGAGAACTCTGGGCTTTCAAATGGGAAGCCTGCCGGCAGGCGGCTAAAAAATCAGAGTGGGCTTTGGGAGGAGCAGGGAGGGCATTGGGAGTCCATCAGATGGGGAAGGGTGGAGCAGGTGAAGACACTGTGGAGAGGGGAGTCAGAAACGGAGGGGAGTCTGGGGGTGTACCATGTGAACACCTGCCCTGCCCCACAGGTTCACTGATGCCCTGGTCACCATCCGGAACCGGCACAACGACGTGGTGCCCACCATGGCACAAGGCGTGCTTGAGTACAAGGACACCTATGGTGATGACCCCGTCTCCAACCAGAACATCCAGTACTTCCTGGACCGCTTCTACCTCAGCCGCATCTCCATCCGCATGCTCATCAACCAGCACAGTGGGTGCCAGCCACGGTGGCAGGGTGTGGGGGGCGGTGCTGGGACCCAGGGCCGGGCTGCTGAGGGGACCTAGGCCACTCTTCAGAACCCCACAGAAGGAGTCTTTGAGTAGTTATTCCAGTAACTTTGGAGTTAATAGCTCCGACATGGAAAAATAAAATTTTTCTTTCTCATTCATTTTCCATTTCAAAAACGTTTTGTTTTCAATGTTTGCAAAATGTAAAATTATGTCACATCTTTAAAAGAATGTTTAATTTAGTATTCATAAAAACTCTCATTATGTTCAAAAACAATTTGTTGTTTAGAGTTTCTTATTCCAGGAAGATTCACTATGATTTTTGAGAAGTTGTAGCCAGTCATAAGTGAAACAAGTTCCTCATGCTCAAATAATTTCCAAAGCAAGGTGGTAAGAGTTCTCTTAGAATGTTATAGTCAAAGAAAAGAATAAATGCAATGTGGAGATGTGATGTGGGGAGAGACCTCTGAAAAGATATCTGTTTCAGGTTTGCAAAGGTCCAACGCAAAGGTTTAAAAACGGCCTGAGCCAGGGCTGGAGGTGTCAGGGGTCAGGGAAGGGAGGACAGAAGCAGGGGAGCGGGGCAGCTTTAGGACTGAAGCCTACAAAGGCATTGGAGGTGAAAGTAGAGAGAAGGGGAGAGCCCAGGGGAAGAGGGAGCGCTGGGACAGACTGCAGCCCAGCCAACAGCACCCTCCCTTCCTGCCTGCAGCCCTCATCTTTGACGGCAGCACCAACCCAGCCCATCCCAAACACATTGGCAGCATTGACCCCAACTGCAACGTCTCTGAGGTGGTCAAAGGTGAGCCATTCCCACAGTGCCTGGCCCGCAGAGGAGTCCCAGGGACCCCTCCAAGCTTACCTGGCCAGAGGGTGACTTGTTCCTCAGTGAGGGGTGCTATGGGTTTAATGCTGGTGGTCCCCAGTGTCAATGTCAAGAGGACTGCCTGCTGGGTGGGCCACCCATGCCCTGAATGACCCCATCTTCTCTCAGACGCCTACGACATGGCTAAGCTCCTGTGTGACAAGTATTACATGGCCTCGCCTGACCTGGAGATCCAGGAGATCAATGGTGAGTGAGCGTGGCTATGTGTGTGTCTGTCTTGGGGCTGGGGACACAGCAGGGCAAGGTGAGATGGGGAGTGAGGAGATGGACTGTTTTCTAGACAGGGGAGAAGCAGAGTTATTATTGTATTATTAATTCATTTGATAAATATTTGGACGGGGCACAGTGGCTCACATCTGTAATCTCAGCACTTTGGGAGGCCAAGGCAGGCCAGTCACTTGAGGTCAGGGGTTTGAGACCAGCCTGGGCAATATGGTGAAACCCTGTCTCTACTAAAAATACAAAAATTAGCCGGGCATGATGGCACATGCTTATAATCCCAGCTACTTGGGAGGCTGAGACAGGAGAATTACTTGAACCCGGGAGGCTGAGACTGCAGTGAGCTGAGATCATACCAATGCACTCCAGCCTGGGTGACAGAGCGAGACTTCATCTCAAGCAAATAAGAAATTGAGTGAATGAATGAATGAAAGAGTAAGCAAGACAGAAATGGTCACCGTTCTCATGCAGCTTACATTTTTTGGTGCTGTGAAGACTGGGAAATGGGGCCTTCAGCCAATTAACAAGTAAATAAACAAGACCATCTCAGATCATGACGAGTGACAGGAAGGAAATAAAATGGGGTAACTCAACAGGGATGGGGAGGAGGGGCATGTTAGATGGTGTATCAGCTTGGCTGCTTTCCTAGAACCCCAATACCAGTGGCTTACTTAAGAGGGAGGTTTCCCTCTCGCCAGCCTCTAGCTGGGGAGGTCAGGGCTGGCTCCCCACCCCTGATTCAATTCTAGCCTGGAGGAAGAGAACAAGGGTGTGGAAAGCAGGGCCCAAGAATTGAATGCATCACTTCCATGAGTCACCGGCTACCGCAGCTCAAGGGAGGCTGGGGATTTAGTCTCTCGCTGGGTAGCCATGTACTCAGTTAGAACCTTGTGGGAGGGGTGCCTCCTTTGGGTAAGGTGGTTGAGCGGTGACCTCCTGACAGTTTCCTGACCCTTGTTCTTGACTTGCCCTGCAGCAGCCAACTCCAAACAGCCGATTCACATGGTCTACGTCCCCTCCCACCTCTACCACATGCTCTTTGAGCTCTTCAAGGTGAGGAGGCTGGGAGCTGGTGCTTTGCGGGGAGCGTGGGTAGGGCTGGCTTCTCCCATGCTTCTCTTACCTCTGCCCCTCCACAGAATGCCATGCGGGCGACTGTGGAAAGCCATGAGTCCAGCCTCATTCTCCCACCCATCAAGGTCATGGTGGCCTTGGGTGAGGAAGATCTGTCCATCAAGGTATGTGACCCTTTGACCTTGGGGACCAGCGAGCAGTAGTGGGGGCTTCTCTCCTGCCAGGCGACGGGCTCTCCTTTTCTCCTACATGGTGGGCAGATCTTGGGGGTGGGGAAGACCATGAGAAGGTCAGGGTACCGGGCAGGGTGGGGAAACTGAGCTATAGAGAATCCCTGACACGTCCCCTCTCTCCCAGATGAGTGACCGAGGTGGGGGTGTTCCCCTGAGGAAGATTGAGCGACTCTTCAGCTACATGTACTCCACAGCACCCACCCCCCAGCCTGGCACCGGGGGGACGCCGTTGGTGAGATGGCTTCACCCCAGCCCCTCCCACCTCCTGAGGGAGGCTTCTCTCCTCCTCACTCCCCCTGCTCACTCAGCTCCTGTGTGGCCGTCTATGACAGTCACCTGTCTTGAATCTGGGCCCCGCGCCTCCCGCATCTCCCCAGTCTGCACACATCTCACCTGTGTCAGATGTCTCTCTGTCACCTTTCCCCCATCTTCCCTCTTCTCTGTGGCTCCCAAACCCCCAATTTCTACCTTTCTCAAGTGTTGTCCAACTTGTCAGCACCTCCCTGTTAGAGAACTTGAGACTCAAAGGAGCCATGGGGCCCGCTCTGACCTCCTGGCCCTTAAGCGGAGCTTCTCTCCCTGCCCAAGCCTCCCTCCCACATTCATGATTCCCTCATTCACCCCACACCCACTTCTTGCCTCAGTGTCCCCTCCCGCATGTCCCCTCCCCACTCCAGCTCTGGGACCCCCGCCGTGTGACTCCAGTTCCATACCCCTCCCTCCCTGCGTCAGTCCCTGCAGCTCCAGGAGGCCCCTGCCAGCCTCCTCATCCTCACTGCCTTCCTGCCCCGCTGCAGGCTGGTTTTGGTTACGGGCTCCCCATTTCCCGCCTCTACGCCAAGTACTTCCAGGGAGACCTGCAGCTCTTCTCCATGGAAGGCTTTGGGACCGACGCTGTCATCTATCTCAAGGTGAGGGCCCTTCCTGCAGAGCCCGGCTGGCAAAGAGGTTTGCTGATGGGACCTGGGCAGGCTTGGCCAGCTGCGAGCCTTCCTTTCCACCCCCCCAATCCTTCCCTGGCCCCAGACTCTGAGAATCCAAGCAACGCTACAGTTCCTCAACCTGAAGAACCCTCAACCCCCAGACATGCACAGCTTGTCAGGGAATTTAGGGGAGTCTGTGGTCTATGATTAAGACAATGGTGCTGGGAACCCTTGACTTGTTAGACCCAGAAGGAAGGGGACACCCTAGATCTTGCCATTCAGCTCAGAGGAGAGAAGACTGAGGCCCGGAGTCGGTCACTTGCTCAGGGTCACACAGCCCAGCCTCCTCCCTCTCCTTCTCCCTCCCTTAGAGGGAGCTGCTTTCTTGAATGGGCAGGAGGGGGACACAGGAGAGACCACCCTTTCGTGGGTCTTTGCAGGCCCCCGTGTCTGGCAGCTGGGCTGCCGCTGAGCTGGGGTGGGGTGGTCTGCTGAGGAGTGGACAAGGCACAGGGAGGTAGGAGGGGCTGACCCTGGCACTCCCCAGGCCCTGTCCACGGACTCGGTGGAGCGCCTGCCTGTCTACAACAAGTCAGCCTGGCGCCACTACCAGACCATCCAGGAGGCCGGCGACTGGTGTGTGCCCAGCACGGAGCCCAAGAACACGTCCACGTACCGCGTCAGCTAAGGGCCGCCACTCATCTGCACCTGAGAGGACGGACTGCCGCCTCTGGGCCCCACCACCGCGGTGCCCCTCACCGTCCTCCTCGGGGAGCAGGGGGTGGGTTCTCCCTGATGACCAGGCTCTGTCTCTATAGAAGTCACTGCGGTGATAGGTCTGTGATGGTCCCTAAGTGCCAGTCCATCTCCGTGGAGAGCCCTCGGTGGCCTCCCCATCTCTGTGGGCGATGCCTGAGGGTTGGGGATGTCTCCACCCTGATGGGGTGTCCCAGAGACATTTCCCCATGGCAGTCCTCCTCTCTGAGACCAGGGCTGTCACTTTTCTGCCAGGGGTACTGGGTCCCCCTCAGCACCCTCCACAGCCCAGGCCTTCCAAGTGGATGCTCCGCTTGCCTTATTCTCCCAGCCCACAGAGGCACCCTGGGCTTTGGCCTGTTGAAGAGGCTGGGTGCCCTCCAGACCTGAGGACTGAGTGAAGAAAGGGGTTACACCCGTGAGTGGGGAATGAGGCTGGTCCTGCAGCCTCTCTCTCCACTCGGGACTTTAAGGTCGGTGGCAGAGGGGGTGGCTCTCACAGGGCCCAACCCTAAAGTGGAGGAACCTTGTTAGACCCAGAGCTTGCCACCCAGCCAAGCTGCTCGAGGCCCTGCAGCAGCCTTGGCAATGTCTGTGCCACCTCCCGAGCCCTCCCAGCATGTCCTCACGTGCTCATGCCCATCCGCCCCTCCACAAGCCCAGTCCGTCCTGCCTGAGTTCCAGCCCCCAGCCCCCACTGTGCCCAGACACGTGTGCTCAGGGTGGCTTTCTCCCAGGACCCTCTGTGTATATAGTTAGTTTTATAACCCTGAATGCCCCCACCCTTCCCCTAAGCACACGGGGGTTAAAGCTGTGTGTCCCTCCCAGTGGCTGTGGCAGTGACAGTGACACCCACACCCACAGTAAAGAGGAGACTGAATGAGACTGGCCTGGCTGCATCCCTGGGGGAGGGGACCCACACGTGCGCACGTACACACGCACACTGCAGCGCCCTGTGACCACCACATGACGCACTCGGGACGTCCGGCCCAGCTCAGGACCGTGAGTAAAATACTGGGCAAAGCCATCTGTGCAGAACGCCGGATGGCCCAGCACCTGGTGACAGACCTGTTGTCCCACCACACTCAGGGCCCAGCAGAATCTGGCCAACCCAACAGCTGGAGCAGACAGAAATTCTGGTCACTGGCACATCATAAGTGTTTATTGAAATAAATTGAGAACTGCCTCCCCTTCGCATGCAGGTGGGCACCCACTGTAGCTACTGATGGCTTTAAGGACGTGGGTGCATTCCAACCTCCCATGGCCCTGCCACCAGGCCCAGATGGTGCCAGTGTCCTCATATCTGTTTCCCTCCGAAGCCCCTCTCCCAGCACAGATAGCAGAGGGGGGATAAGGACTGAGTCCCAGGTACAGGGTGCTGGCTGTAAGCCACAGCCCCTGGGCAGGAATGAGGGAGCCAGCATGCATTGGTGCCATCCGTCGCTCTGGGCAGATGGGAGGAACTGGAGGGGTTTCCAAGCAGGAGCCCCCCGGCCCCATCGGTAACTCTGACTAGTGTCCTGGAAGCGGGGCTAGCTGCTGACCAGCGCCACACATGGACACTTCCTCCAAGGACATTTCCTAAAAAGGACACATGCTGTCCCGAGGCTGCTGGTAGACTCCACCCCCATCCAGGGAGCTCGCCCCAGCCCTCAGTGTGGCCTAGCGAAGCAGAGCTTGCACCGCCTGCCAGTTCTGAGCCCACTGATTCCCTGACAATGCCTGGGGCAGATGGAGTGCTGAGGAACCTTTCCAATCTCGCAGCTGCCAGGGACCCCCAGGTTTTGCCCCTCTGCCTGGCTGGGGTGACAGCTGACCAGGTCAGCAGCTCCTAGGCTTTGGCTGGTGGAAGTGGTGTCCTCTGTCCCTATCAGCTCCTGTTTGCTCAGCTCCCAAAGAGGGCTCAGGTGCCCTCTGAGGAAGCAGCAGAAAGTGAAGGGAGTCCTGGCTTGGAGAATGGGTCAAAGACCAGGTTTTGAATGGGCCCTGAGAGGCAGACCTGTGTGGATGTCATCTCGCCCCCTGGAACCCACAGGACAGAGGAGGGGAGTGGGAGAAGGGGGTGTTCATCTTCCCCTCTTGAGTCCTGGCAAAGACCGCACTCGCCCCAGGCTGCTTTCTCTGCTCTCCTGTTGAGGAGTTTGGCTGGGAGTCTACCCTGAGTGCAACTTGGTGCAGCGGCCACTGGCCTCTCAGGGGAGCAGGACAGAGCTCTACCACCACACAGCCCCCTGGGAGAGTGGAGAGGAGCAGCTCCCACACCTACTTCTGCTGAAATGCCCAGCCCAGCTCTGAGCCCTGGGGCCCAGCCTCAGGGCCTCTGGCAGGCAAGCAGGCAGGCAGGCCTCCTAGCTCCCCTCTACCCCAGCAGCACGGTGGCCTGAGGGCAGTGGGACAGCCTGACCCAGGCTCCCAGACTTGCCTCGGCCCTGGCCTCTCTGCCCTCTCCCCTTCATCTGCTCCTCCCCCAGGAATTCTGTGCCAAACAAGTCCTCAAAATAGGATTTATTACTAGGCCCTCTCCCTAGGGTCTCCCTTTCTGGGGGCTCTGGGTCTAGACCAAGTGACAGGGTAAGAGAGGGCATGTCCGCCCTTGATCGTGGGACCAGGCTAGCCCAAGCGCGGCGCCCAGGCCCAGCCTCCCTGGTGAGGCCTGTGCCCGCTGAGCCAGCGGCCGCCAGCGCCTGTGCACCCTCCCCTAGCTCTTCTTGGTCTCCTGCTCTCGGCGCCGGAGCTTCTCCCGCTGCCGTGCAGCCTTCTCCTGGGCCTTGCGCTCCTTCTCGGCCGCCGCTGCCAGCTCCTTCAACTTGCGCTTCACCAGTGCCCGGTCATGCGAGTTGCTGAGCCCCAGGCTCTGGGGAGGAGTCCAGGGTGAGGGAGAGAGTCCCAGAACCTTCCCAGTCCTGGCCCCCCACGCCCAGGCTCCTTTTGCCCCAAGTGTACTCTGGAGCTCCGAATCCTCCCTGGAATGGAGCCTCCGCCTCCTACACCGTGACCTGCCCGTGGATCAGAACCCCCAGAGCAAGAATTTGGAATGAGTGTGGTTGGGAGAGATGAGGGTTGAGGGTATTAGGCGCTTCCTCCTCCTCCCCTACCATACCTCCACTCAGGATTTCAGCCTTGGCCTGGCCCTGCCCAACCTCCTGAGGCCCAGAGATGGGGAGTCACTTGCCAAAGGTCACACAGTTAGTCAGTGCCCAAGGACCCTCCTCACTTCCAGAGACTTCCTGGGGGCTCTTTTCACCATCCCTGCCCCCAAGCAATTCAGCAGAGAGCAGGAGACAGGCTGGGAACCTCCCAGCTTAGAGGTCAGAGACCACCCACCCCCTCCCTACATCCTCCCTCTGCCCACCATTACCACCAGCCTCTGAGACAGAATCAGACCAAGCTGACCAGGGGGAGACATATGGCTTCCCATGACACCAGGAAACTCATATGCATCAAGGGTCATCCTAGAGGGCAAGGTCAGCCTGGAGACCAGGACTGGAGCTTGAAGGTCACACTGAAGTCATGGACTAGAGTTTCAAGTCAAACTAGGGATTCATGCTACAACACAAAATATTAGACCAAGGACCTTGCCTAGAGGTCAGAGGTCAGGGTAGTGGCCACAGATGGAGTGAAAAGGTCAGCCCAGGAGACTGGGCTGAGGGTCAAAGGTCAGGACAAGGACTTCCAATCCTTGAAAGTCACCTCAAGTAACTGGGCTGGGTCATGGCCCTTCCGCTCTGACCCACCTTTAGTTTGCTTCCATCCAACTGCAGCAGCTGTGGCCCGTCTACCTGCCGTGCAGCAAACTCGGCAGCATACTGTTCCAGGTTGAGGCTCTGCAGCCACTGGCCCACCTGCTGGCTGGTCCAATGGTGGACAGGGGGGAGGGGTTCATCCAGGAACTGGGCAGAGACCAAGGACAGTGAGGGGGAGGCTTGGCTTGTGACCTGAGCACCTTGCAGAGTCAGAGGTCAGGACTCTGTGGGTACCCTGGGCCAGCCTTGCTCACCTCATCTGAAGACTGAGACAGCGTGTGGTAGGGGTAAGAACATTTGACCTCCTGCCGGGGCCCACTGGGAATCTTGGGGCTGCTGCTGGGGGGCGTGGAGTCATCACTCAGGGTGGATTCCTAGACAGAAGAGGGTGCATGCCACTGAGGAGAGTTCACCCCCAACCCACCATCCCTATCTGGGTGGAGCCGAAGTCCTGGACTAGGCACCAGGAGTTGCTCAGTGCCCCTGTGCATGAGCCAGGAGCTGGGCCCGCACACAGGACATGATAACTCATGTCGGGCATCAGGACCTAAAGCTTCCAGGAGAGCAGGCAGCCATCTGGAGCACATGAGGTTAGAACCAAGCCAGGTTAGTAGGAATGGAGGCGGTCTCAGGCAAGGTGTCACTTCCTACAGGCAGCCCACCGGGATTCCCCCAGGCTGGGTCAGGCATCTCTGCTCTGTGCCTCCCGCTTAGGCTCTAGTACCCCAGCTAATAAGTGCCTGATTAGAGGTCTTTATCCTCACTGGACTGTGAGCTCTAGGAGGGCCTGGGTTTTATCTTGTTCATCATGGTGTCCCAGTGCCCAGCATAAGGGAAGGAAGAAAGAAAAGGAGGAAGGAAGGAAGTTCCAGGTTCGAAGGGATTCTTTCTCCCCCGAAATTCCCAGCTTCTGATTTTCTCCTCTGCCCAGCTGAACATAAGAAACAGAACCATAGAACAAATACTGGGCTGGGGGTCTTAGAGCTTGGCACCTACATCTGTGCCAGTCTGTGGGCAAGCCCCTTCTCTCTGGGCCTTCCTTTGCTCATCATCTGTACAATGGAGATGAGCGTGCCTTCCCTTCCCACTTCACTGAGCCTTTGTGAGAGTAAAGCAGAAACACGTTTGGGGCTTTGTAAACTGTAGAGGGCGCTCTGAACATAAGCAGATGCTCATCATTGCTTCTTTTACTCGGTCTCACATCACATAGGGTTGTAAATTTTCAGACCACTAGGCTGGGGTCCTGTTCTTCTCTATATCCCCCAGGCCTCACGCTACCAAGCAGGTGGCCCAGCTCCTCACACAGGAGTGGGGTTAGAACTGAGCCGGGCAGAAGAGTTAGCAGGAATGAAGGAAGTCTCCAGCTGGGGGAACAGTAGGGAATCAGTGTTCAGTGATTTGCTGAATGCATGAACCAGTGACTGAATCAAGGAATGAACTCCTCAGGATATGAAAGAGTGGATGAGTGAATGAATGAATTCAGAGAATGCATGAAGTAACGGATCACTGCATGGCTCCATGGATGGACACATCGATTCCAGGAATGTCTGAATCCCAGCCTGAGCCAGGGTGAAGTATGCCCTCATGTCACCTGAGACTGGGGGCCAGTTTGGGGACAAGTAAGCTATGGACTTACCTGGGAAGCTGACTTCTTAGGGCTGAAGCCCTCGTGTTTAGGGGAGCAGGCAGGGGAGGTGGTGCTACCCGAGGATGCTGAGCCCTTGCCGCTGTCTGTGAACCAGGAAAAAGGCAGGAACGGGGAGACCCCTGACCTGCCGGACCCCTCCACTGACTCCCTGCAGAGAGAGTGTCCAGCATGGGTGTGGGTACAGAGGGGAGGACCAGGGCACACAGGGGGCCGGGGTAGGAGCTGTGGGTGGGCCGCCATGGGCACTTCTCACCTGCTGCCCATGGACAGGCGGTTGCTGCCTTTCTCCTTCCGGCTCTTGCCTGTGGATGCTCGGCGCAGGGTGACCCTGTGGGGAGGAAGCAGGAAGTGGAGCAGCGCTGCCCACTGTGCTACCCCTTACCCCAGCAGCTCCAAACCGTGTGATCTAGCCCTGCCTCCACTCACCCCAGGTCCAGGAACTTTCGGCGGGTCTTCTTATCCAGGCCGATGGTGGGGCTGGCGGGCTCGGGAGGACTGGCGTCATGGCTGTCATCTTTCCAGGGAGAGAAGGAAGGAAATTGCCTGTCTGCTGCCCTGCCTGCCTCCTTCGGCTGCCAGTGTGTGCTGATAGAAATTCTCTTGACTTGGAATTAGGCAGCCTGGCTCTGGTGACCTTCACTAGCTGGGTGTCCTAGGACAAGCCACTTTATCTCTCTGAGTTTCCTCCATTTTAAATATGGGGATAATAACATCCACCTACTTCATGGGACCTAACAGGATGCTTATGACAGCCTTTTACAAGCTATAAAATGTTCCAAAAAGGTAGGAACCACTACTACTCAATTTTATCCTGGCCAACTTTTTTTTTTTTTTTTTTTTTTTTTTTGAGACGGAGTTTTGCTCTTGTTGCCCAGGCTGGAGTGCAATGGTGTGATCTTGGCTCACTGTAATCTCCACCTCCTGGATCAAGCAATTCTCCTGCCTCAGCCTCCTGAGTAGCTGGGATTACAGGTGCTCGCCACCACGCCCAGTTAATTTTTTGTATTTTTAGTTGAGACAGGGTTTCATCATGTTGTCCAGGCTGGTCTCAATCTCAAACTCCTGACCTCAGGTGATCCACCAGCCTCGGCCTCCCAAAGTGCTGGGATTACAAGCGTGAGCCACCACACCCGGCCTGTCCTGGCCATCTAAACAGCCTTCCGATCTTGGCTCAAATGTCATTTCCAGGATGTTTCCAGACAGGCCAGGCATCCTGGTGTATGCTCTCCTGCCATGCTGCCACACACATTTCCCAAATAGCACTTGTTATAGTTTGTAGCTAGACATTTAGTTAGGGGATGATTTGATTGGGTTTTTGTTTTGTTTTGTTTTTGAGGCAAGGAGTGATCATAGCTCACTGCAGCTCAGAACTCCCGGGTTCAAGCTATCCTCCCACCTCAGCCTCCCAAGTAGCTGGTTCTACAGGTGCACACCACGCGGGGCTAATTTTGTAATTTTTTTCTGGAGACGGTCTCGCTGTGTTGCCCAGGCTGGTCTCAAACTCCTGGGCTCAAGCGATCCTCCCATCTCAGCCTCCCAAGGTGCTGGGATTACAGGCGTGAGCCACCAGCCAGGCCTGACTCGATTGTTTCTCCACTAAACTACTATGATGATAAAGGCTGCATGTGTTTGCTCACCTGGCTGTCCCAGAGCCCACAGGGTCTGGCACTTAGTATGCGTTCGGTAAAGAATGGGCGAGCCGCAGCGTTCACTCTCCACCTCCCTCAGCCACTCTGCCCAGTTGCCCCTTCCGCGGCTGCGGTGCGCGCCGGGACCGGAAGGGCTGCTGCGCCCCGGAGCAACCAGCAGGCGGTGCAGCGCTGGCCGCCTCTCACCTTCGCTGTGCGGCTCTGCGCGCGGGTGGCGGCGCACGAAGCTGGGGGAGCTGTCGGAGGAGGGCGCGGAGCGCGGCGGAGAGCAGGAGGCGGCGGCCAGGCCCTCGTGCGAGGTAGCGTTGTGCAGGGGCCGGTAGCGCGTGAGCGGCGAAGGCGGCGGCTCGTCCTCGTCCAGGCTGCGCCGCAACCCCGGAGGATCCAGGCAGAAAGAGCCCCCGGCCGGGGACCCCGGGCCTGAGTGCAAAGGCGAGCGCAGCCGGTGCAGGGGGCTCCCGCAGCCGTCGGTCACCTGGTCGAGGAGGCAGGCGCTAACCGAGAACCCTCCGCCTCCCTTCCCGAAGGAGCTGGGAGACTTTCACCCTGTAAACTGCGGGCCCTGAGGGTCCTTCTGGGGCCTAGAGGGAGGGTTTCCTCATGGGGGGTGGCTGGAGAGTGAGAGGTGGGAAACAGGAGCTTTGAGTCACATAGGCTGGGGCTGAATTCCCCCTCCTTCACTTACAGTGACACTGCTACTGGACCTCTCAGGGCCTCAGTTTCCTCAGCTGTAAGATGGGGCTAATAATATCTTCTTTACAAATGATTAAGTGAGCCAGAAGTGAACTGCAGCTAACACTTGTTAGCATTACTAGGTCAGAAGTCTGGGGATGTGGTTTCCCTGGAAAAGCACTTTGGAGAGTATCCAGGGGTGGGAGGAGTGGGAGGGGTGGGAGGGTGTATGTGTGTTTTCCTAACTCGCCCCAACCTTGCCTCCGGGCCCGTCGGAGCCTTCACCATCCTCTGCGGAGCTGGCACTGTCTCGAAGCCTGGAGCGGGACGGCCGGTGTCTCCGGCCCTTGGCCAATAGTTGGGCCCGGGCCTTGTGTAAACTGCTGTCCAGTCTGGCCGTCTCTGGCACAGCCAAGTCCAGGTCTGCGAACCGGGGGAAGGGAGCAGAGACCAGACACATGAGAGGTGATGGCAAGCCCAGAGGCCCACCTCAGGGGCCACCTGCACCCACACCCCAGGCATTCAACCCGTGTTCTTGAGTGCTGGGAGTACAGACAGATGAAAAACAGGGTGTCTCCCCGTTTCAGGTGGGAGTGGGTGAGTGTTCAGGGGAAGCAGACATGCCAGCACTAAAATACAGCACGGTGTGATGAACCCTCACGTAGACACGGAGGAATGGCAGCCCTGTTTGGATACATCAGAGGAGGAAACACCAAAGCTGGGTTTTAAGGTCTGGGTAGGAGTTTGTAAGAGATGAGGTGGGAAAAACAGGTATATGCAATGCTAGGAAGTAGGGAAACAAGGGTGGTACCTCCAGGGACAGCTGGAGGGTAGCTTTGTGGAGAGAAAGGTTGGGTGATGAGGCTGGAGAGACGATGGAAATAATGGCTACCATTTAAGAAGCACTTACTACACATCAGACAGTGTACATACATCATCTCTCACTCAACCTGGTGGGGTTGGGACAGTTACTGTGCACACTTTACAGCTGAACAAACTAAAACTTAAGTCACTTGACTAAAGCCACCAGCTAGCAATGGTCCAGGATTTGAGCCTGCCTAGTCTGGTTCTAGAGACTGGCCCTACTGGGGACACTGACTTGCTGTGCCATGACAGGGTCTCACTCAGAGATAGCACTGCTGAGCATCTAGAGGGCTTGCAGTTGGAGTGGAGCAAAGAGACACCCCCAGAATCCAGTGGCAGTGGCAGGAAGGAAAAAGTCCCATCGTCCCCTGAAATTTCTCTCCTGCCCTGGGTCTGTGACCCAGTGCTAGGTCTTGCACAAGGACACGGAGGAAGAGTAGGCAGACCCAATGGGTCCAGCATAAAAGTCCTTATTGCTCATAGCTCCGCTTGTCATGTGCTGTACCTCGGAATGAAGCCCTCATGCTGTACGAGTCCTGAGCTTGGCACTGGGGTCTCCAAACAGAAAGAGTCTTCCCAGGCTTCAAGATGGGTCAAGACCTTTCCTCCCTACTCCACCCACCATGATCTCAGGGGCTCTATTCCGTCACCCATACCCACCTGGCCTTGTCTGATCCTCTTTCCTGTCTGTAGACAACCCCTAAGCCACCCCAGTTGCTCTCCTGACTTAACTACCACCTATTTCTATTTCCAGCCTTGACCCCCTCCCCTGAATTCCAAGCATGGGCACTCAGGCACCTGCCAGGGAAGTTACCATGTCAAAAGGCCCAAGGCATCTCAAGCTCAACTCATCAAAATGAACCGATCATGTAACCTCAAACCAGCTTCTCCTCTCTTCCTTGACTCAGTAAAAAGCCCCCTTGTCCACCCAAGTCGCCCAAGTCAGACAGCCCTAAGCTACCCTTCTCTCTCAGCCCCAGACCCAGTTGGTAATTCATGTGTCTAACTGTCTAGTTGACACCTCCACTTTGATGTCCACCAGGGGTCTTCAGCCTACATGTGCTGCAACCTCCTGATCTCTACGCCCCAGAGCTGCTCCTCCCAGTCTTGGTGAACAGTAGCTCCATGCTTCTAGTTGCTCAGCTGAACCCCTGGAGTCATTCTTCACTGCTTTCCCTACCATCCTACAAACTGATTCATCCACAATTCCTGTTAGCTCTACTTTCAAAAGATAGCTAGACATATTGAAATATTTATGGTGAAGGGATATGATGTTTTGGACTAGGTTCCATATAATCCAGGGCAATAGGGGGAGGGTGTGGATGGAATAGATATGAAACGAGACTGGCTGTGACTAGGTATTGTTGAGGCTGGGTGGTGAGTTCTTGAGTGCTTGATAGAGTACACTCTGCTGTAATCTCTAATTTTGAATCTGTGTGAGATTTTCCATAATAAATTATTGTTTGTGCAAATGTATACACATACTCCTATATATGTGTATATATGAAGAGAAAGGGAGAAGAGCAGAGGAAGGGAGAGGAGAGGAAAAAAAAGGAGGGAAGAGGATAGGAGGAAAGGGAGGGAAGTGAGAGGGAGAACTCACAGTCTCTTAGACCAGAGGGTCTAAACTGCCATCATCTTTTAGCCTGGATTATTACAAACAGCCTCCTAGCTGGTCTTCCTTCCACCTCCCTTTCCCATCTACAGTCTATTTTCAACACAGCAGCCAGAGTGATCCTGATCAAACATGTCAGTTTATATCACTCCCCTGCTCAGAACCCTCCAGTGACTTCTATCTCATGCAGATTAAGAGCCAAAGTTCTCCCAGTGGCCTTCCAGAGTCAGCCTATGCTCCCTTGCCTCTCTGAGCACTACTCCTGTCCCTCCACTCCAGCCACCCTGGCCACCTGGCTCGTCCTCACACAAGCCAGCCTGCACTGCAGGGCCTTTGCACCTCCTCTGCCCTTTTTCTGCAAGGCTCTTTCCACAGATTTGTGCACGGTTCTCTCCCTCACTTCCTTCAAGTCTTTACTTAAATGCTTTCTCTCACTGAGGCCTTCCGTGACCACCCAACTTATAATAGCCCCCCTACTCCAAAACCCCACTCCTTTTTTTCCTATATCATTTCTCATTCTCTGGCATGCTATATATTTTGCTTGTATCATTTAATGTCTCTCTCCACCCATTAGAATGTCAGCTCCATGAGGACAGGTTTCTGTTTTGTTCACTGCTCTACCACAGGCAGAGAACAGTGCCTGGCACACAGTAGGTGCTTAGCACACCCTTTTAATGAAAGAAAAAAGTTCTGTTGATTGGCCTCCTCACACCCATGGAACCTGGGCTCTCCTCTCCCTCTGGACTGAACTGCCTTAGCTCAGGCCTTCACCTGAGTAGAGGGGAAATTGCCCCCACCTGCCACCCCCTGCCACCCCAAAACATACGACTCTCCCTCCTTCGCTCCCTGCCTCCGGTCTGGCTCCTCCTTGTACCTTCCATGTGACTAGAAGAAACTTTCTGAAGCACATTTCTTTTTCCCTCCCCTCCCCTCCCCTCCCCTTCCCTTCTTCCTTTGACAGAATCTCACTCTGTCACCCAGGCTGGACTGCAGTGTCATGATCTTAATTCACTGCAACCTCTACCTCCCAGGCTCAAGCGATTTTCCTGACTCAGCCTCCCGAGTAGCTGGGACTACAGGTGTGTGCCACCACGCCTGGCTAACTTTTGTATTTTAAGTAGAGGTGGGATTTCGCCACATTGGCCAGGCTGGTCCTGAACTCCTGGCCTCAAGTGATCTGCCCACCTTGGCCCCCCAAAGTGCTGAGATTACAGGTGTGAGCCACCACGCCAGGCCTGAAGCATATTTCTGACCATGTCCCATACTCTCCTGCTTTTGAAACTCTCGCAGAAGGGGTCCCAAAGCTAACTATATAAAGTCCATGCTACTCAGCCATCTATTCAAGGCCTGAGGGGCCCAGCTCACCCTTTCTGTGTTCCCCACAGATTCCTCCTCTTATATGACTATGGCTAAGAGCACTGGCCTTGGAGCCAGATGGCCAGGCTGAAGCCAGTTCTATCACTTGCCAGTTGGGTGACTCTGGGCAAGTTACTTCCTTTTAGGTGTTAGCTTTCTCATGTGTAAAATGGGATTATACTAGCACTATCTTCCTTATAGGGTGGTTGTGAGCATCAGATAAAATAATCCACATACAGTGCTTCGCCATAATGCTATGCTTAGTACGAGCTCAACAGGCGCTCGCTGGTGATGGCGTCTGTGGAATCAACTGAATTGCTTATACTGATACCTATATGTGTACCTGCCCCTGCTTCGCTTCCCACCTCCATCCCTGTGCTCCATCTCTCTCCAGCCCTTCTCTGTCTGGCTAATCAACTCTGACACAGCACCGTCTGGCAGCCGCACCACACTACCATATGGTCACGATATGGTCGGGATATGGTCGCCAATGACTGTCTCCTCATGCTGGCCTGCAACCTGCAGAGGGTGAAACCCTTCCCTGTCCACTGTGTATCGTGAGAGCCTGGTGCGGCTCCTGACAAGGAGCAGGTGCTCAGGAAGTGTTGAAGCAAAGTCACACTTCCATGGACCAGTGCATGCTTTGGCAAAGATGGACTCCAGACACACACGGGTGCTGATGAAGGTCACCTCCACGCCCATGCCCACATCCCATCACGTCCACATTTCAATCCTCTGCCCAGCACTCCCCACCATCTAGTATGATCCTTGTTTATTTATGTGTGCTTTGATCATCTGTCCCCCTACTTGCCCCTGCAGGAAAATTTGAGCTCCATGAGGACAGCGATTTTGTCTGGCTTGTTTGTTGCTGTCTCCCCAGAGCCAAGGACAGGGCCTGATGCATATTAGGAGCTCTATAAATATTTGTCGAATGAAAAGACAGGGGGAGACTGGGAGGCTACTACCTTAAATGTGGCAGCCAGACTGAGGTCTGCTATAAAGAGCTGAGGTTGTAGAAGGAATAAAAAGAGCTTTCTAAGGAGAGGGAATGGTGCAGCCTTGGGCTTGGAGCATCTGGGGAGCAGCGAGGGGGCCAGCACAGCCTGCAAGGGGACAGGAAGGGTCTGGGGGAGGGTGGACACCTCCAAGAGGAGATTGCAGTTGTCCAGGGGGCAACCTGCTGGTGTTTCCAGTCCCTGGGGCTGTACTGGCGGAGGGAGCCCTCTGTTCCCAGCCCCTGACAGAATCTCCAGGCACTGCCTGGAAGCAGCAGCAAGGATTGAAGGCTGAACCACAGAAAAATAAGAGCTAATCCTTATTGAGCTCTTACTGTGCTAGGCACTGTTCTAAGTGCTTTACAATTACTCAATTACTAGCTCATTGGAGCCTCCCCACAGCCCTACAAGGAAGGGACTCCAGGAATTCCCAGGGCAACCTTAATTTGCCCGAGGGCAGAAAGCTGGTGAGGAGCCCACCAGGGTTACAGACAGGCGGTCTAGCTCTGTTAGTAAGCATTAACACCCTCTCTGAAGCAGAGATGGGAAGGAATTTTGAGTCTAACCTCTCGTTGTATGGATGGGAAAACTGAGGCTCACGTAGGATAGGAGGACATGTTTGGCCGAGGGGACAGAGGGAGTTAAGGAGAGTGGCTCCCAGGCCAGTGGTCTGGCATCCTCTACCCTTCTGGCACCTAGCTGGTGCCTAACCAACTCAAAACAGGGAGAGGGGCCCCTTGCTCCTGACTCTGGGCCATATCAGCACCATGGCCATCTTACCTTGGAGGGGCTGGGGAGCCAGGGGACTCCTAAGGGGCTTGGTGGTTTTGAGGCAAGGTGGGGCCAGCCTGTCCTGGGTCCTCTGCTCTACGAGGCTCTCCCTCCAGCTTCTATCTCTTCCCTCTTCTCTGCTCCTACCCTCCTTCCCTATCCTTCTCCCCCATCTCTCTCCCTCTTCCTCCTCCTCCCAGCCCTGGGCAGTGGGAATTCATAAATATTTAATGGCCTTTCAGGTCAGGAAGCAGTGAGGACCCAGCTACCTCAGCAGTGAGGAAAACAGGCAGGGGTTGCATGTTAGAGGGTAGGGAGGTGGGGGAATAGGGGCAGAAAAGCCCAGGGAAGGGAGAGCTCATTTCTGTCAGGCCTGGGCTTAAGTCTGGCCTGAGTAGGAAGGCAGTTCAAGGCTAGGGGAGCTGGAGGAGACTGGGATGGGAAGCAGCAGTTCCTGGCATGGCCAGGGGAGAGAGGGAAGAAGGGAGAGATGGGGAGAAGGAAAGCAGGGGAGGAGCTGGGGACCCTCTGGCATAAGAGCCCCTCGAGGAGCAGGCCACTCTCCCCCTCTCCCTTATTCCTCCAAGTTCCTTTGCTCAACGACTCCTCCTGACTCCTCCACCCGAATCCCGCTGGGAAACCGGCTTTCCGCCCCAGTGCATGCTGGGAACTCTGCCCAGCTGGGGTGGTCTCTTTCTCCAGTCCACACAAGAGAAGACTGCAGGGGGTAAATGATGGTACCGTGGTGTGTGCATGCACCCCAGTGTGTACTGAGGACGTGGGCGTGCAGGCCAGCATGAGGGGGCCAGCCTGGGGGTATTGAGGCTGTGTGTGTTATACATTTGATTTCAGCACACATACAAGCAGGGTGAGGTCCCTTGCACTTATTTATGTGACTTGGAAAACGTGTGTCATTTGGGCTGGAGTTTACAGGTGTATAAGATAGTCACTAAGAGCAGGAAGTCTGGCAGTTTGGGGTTCTATTCCCAGCCCTGCCACTAACTAGATATGTGATCTTGAAAGCAAGTGACTTCAGCCCTCTGTACCCTACACTCCTGGTCTGTAAACTGGGCTTACTTCTAAGCATTATTGTAAGGGTTAACGAATACATTGCATGTGAGATGGGGGTGCTTAACCTAGTATCTGGCATAAGATAAGCACTTAATAAATGGGGACACTTATTATACCTGGTGTGTCCACTAAGATAGCGGTGACAAAGGGTCAGGCCACAATACACACACACACACACACACACACACACACACACACACACTCTCTGAAGTTAAAAAAGAAGCGCCCTATCCCCCTCAATGCCTGGTGGCCCAGGAAGGAAGTACTCTATGGCTGTGTCTATTGACTAGAGATAGAGCCACACAGAACTTACCAAAAACCTCATCCACGGGTTCTCGGAGCTTTGAAGAAGCCATGACTCAAGACAGCTGGGGAGGACAAGAGGGGAGAGAAAGAAAAAGAGAGCCTGGGTAAGAGATTCAGGCTGGCCGAGGCAGGAGAGATGTCGAAGGCTACCTGCTCCAGGCCTGTTGGCTCCTCCCCTTACCTTAGAACCCTTCTTTTAGCCCCTGGAAGAGAAGTCATTGGAATCATAACCCACATCATGGGCGCTGGGGCAGGAGGTATAGTAGGAGGGTGGGGGCAGATGTAAATCCAAGGCACAGACACAAGCTGAGCCCTGTGTTCCTGGTGTCCTGGTCCACTGATTTGCTGTGTGCCTTCACGTGGGTCACTGAACTTCTCCCCTTCACTGTCTTGGGCCTTCGCATCATTAGCATCCCCTAAAAGCTTTCAGTCATCAACTGTCCAATCAAATCTGGGAGAAGTCATGGAGATTATTAAATCCAATCCTCTCATGTTACAAATGAAGAAACAGAAGGGGGAGTGACTGGCCCAAGATCACATAGCAAGTTAATGGCAAAATCAGGACCAGGACCCAGGTTCTCCCATCCGTCTACCCACCTATGCACTCATCCACCTACTTGCTTACTCATCATCCATTCACTCACCCATCTATCTACCCATCCAACCATCCAACATCTGCTCCCATGCACCCAACATCTGCTGCCATCTGTCCATCCACCTATCTTTGCATCCATAAATTCTCCATCTCTTTTCCAATCCTGCCTCCCTCTTCCCTACACCCCCATCACTGGTGCCCTCACCACCTGCCTTTCTGAACATGAGCTGTTCAGGAAGCTGGCACCATCAGCAGGGCCACTGTTCCAGACATAGTTCTCACAGTTCTTGACAGACTCACAGATGTAGGAGGGTATGAGGAGTACACACAGCACACAATGGACAGCCAAACCTCTATGATGCAACTATGTTCTGGGAAGAAGTGTGAATGGGTAGGGTTTTCTTTTTTTTTTTCTTTTTTTTTTTTTTTTTTTTGGTTCAAGGTTTTTTGGTGGGAAGCAAGAAGGGAGGGCAGATAGGGAAGGATATATGTAGCTGAAACCATTTGAATAGACTTTCAAGCAGATGTAGGATTCCAGTAGCCCTAGGGAGCCCACTGGTCAGGGAATACTGAATCGGGGGAGAGTGAGGAAGCTCAGGGGCCACTGATGGTTTAAGGCAAGGGGACGCTGCATGGCTGAGACTTGACCTCCAATTACGTCTAACACTCAGGTCCCCAGGAGAATGGCAAGACACTGAGCTAGATCATACATGTGTCAGATGTAGGAAGGCTAGGCCACACGCCTGCTGGGGTCTTTTCCAACTCTTCTTTTCCATTATTACATAGACATCATCTACCTTTACTGTGGCCAGCCTTGGGAATTTTTTTTTTCTTTTTTTTTAAGACATTGTCTTGCTCTGTCGCCCAGGCTGGGGTGTAGTGGTGCTATCTTGGCTTACTGCAAGCTCTGCCTCACGGGTTCATGCCATTCTCCTGCCTCAGCCTCCCGAGTAGCTGGGACTACAGGCGCCCACCACCATGCCTGGCTAATTTTTTTGTATTTTAGTAGAGACAGGGTTTCACCATGTTAGCCAGGATAGTCTCGATCTCCTGACCTCATGATCCGCCCGCCTTGGCCTCCCAAAGTGCTGGGATTACAGGTTTGAGCCACCGCGCCAGGCCCAGGAATTTTCATATCCCCACTTTACAGATACATATCCCCACTTTACAGATGTGAAAACTGAGAAACAGGAGATGAGAGGAAGAACTAAAGCCAGGCAAAGCTGATGCATGCTTATAATCCTAGCTACTCAGGAGGCTGAAGTGGGAGGATCACTTGAGCCCAGGAATTCTAGACCAGCCTGGGCAACATTGTGAAACCCTCATCCCAAAAATAAGTAAGTAGCCGGGTGTGGTGGCACATGCCTGTAATCCCAGCTACTAGGGAGACTGAGGCTGGAGAATGGCATGAAGCCAGGAGGCGGAGGTTGCAGTGAGCCAAGATGGTGCCATTGCACTCCAGCCTGGGCAACAAGAGCGAAGCTCCATCTCAAAAAAAACAAAAAAAACAAAACCACCTCCAGATTCCATAAATGCCTGGGGCTGAAAGCAGAAAATGAGCTGTAGGAAGGGGTCATCAGGGAAGTAGACCCTCCAAGAACGCTCCTGCCATTCTTGAACTCCAGGGGCTACTAGCAAAGATCTAGAACATTTCTTCCTGTCCTGACAGGCCAGATGGGAAGGGAGGCTGACCCTAAGAATTAACCACATTTCCTCATTCAACCCACAAAGCCTTATCTGGCTAGGACCCAGCTGCCACCTCCTGCAGGAAGCTGTCCTAGGTAGCCTTCCCTCTCATTTGTCTGCATAATTTCTAAATCCACCCTTCTCCAACTACTGGGAAATGGGGAATTCTTCATACTTCATTGATTCCTTAAATAGGTCTTATCTCCCCCCCACCAATCAGATGGGTGCTCAGAGAAGAGAGGGTCAGACTAGTCCCGTCAGACTAGGGACTCTGAAGACAGGAACAGCCTCTCCCATCAGAATGGAGGCTCTCTGAGGGCAGTAGTGTTGTCTCCTCTCAGCCTCTGAGAATGAAGATCCTGTGTTCTTTATTCAAGAGCCCAGTCCAGGGTCGAGATCCTCTACTGGCTGGAGGCCTCCTCTTTCAGGCACCCTCTGGGCTGGATTGGGGTTTCCTGCTCAAAGTCACTCTCGGTCCAGCCTGATTCAGCACAACTGCTCTCTTTTCTTCCCTTCAACAACTAACTTCCTGGGGTGTGTGCGGGGACTCTCCCTACATTGTCTCCCGGGGGTCACCAGACCCCTCCCACCCAACCTTCTCCTTCCAAAACTGAGCCTAGAAAAATTAGACACCAAACCCCGCCCCCACTCTCATGCTCACACACACCCCGCACACTCACACACACATTCAACCAGGTAACTGCACAGGGGTGGGAATGAACCGGTTCCTCTGGATACCCTTCCCCCCAAGGCTTCCAATCCCGGAGAAGGAGCACCAATGACCTTTGACCCTTTTCTGAGAGAAAGGGAGGCAGGTGAGCTCACAGCCTCTTGGGACTCAGGGGAAGGAGAAAGAAAGAAAGGGCGCACAATTCCTGGGGAGGGAGCGGGAGCGGAAGGAAGTGAGGAGTAGGAAGAAGCAGAGACAGACACACAGACTGGCGGAGAGTCCACAGGGCTGCTGAGAAGAAAGAGATCACACCAAGAGTGGGGCCAGGGGGAGCGGCACTGGGGATAAGGGATTCCGCCGCCCTGAGTGACGCCCGAGGGTGGGAGAGAAGGGAGAAGCCCTTCGGGCAGGCGAGAGGAGAGGGCCCCTAAAGAGGAGAAAGCCACAGAGAGAAGTGCAACTGGGAGAGGCCGGGAAGAGGTGGATGGGAAAGGAGACTGGTGGTCGGGGAGGCAGTTGTGGAGCCGGAGAGGTGGTCCCGCCTTCCCATATCGCCGGCCGTCCACCGGCTTCAGGCTTGGGGTAGTCCTCAGGAGTCGGGGACCCCCTCAAAGCACTGTTGGAGATGGGGTGAGGTTGGGGATAGGGCATCTACTCCACTCCCAGAGCCCTTCTCCCCCGTCAGAGCCCGGTGGCTAGTTTCTCTCCAATCCATCAGCACAACTCCCCGCCGGGCAAGAAAGAGTTAAACCCTCTCCCCCTCCCCCCACACCAGCTTTTTATTAATTTCTCCGGGCGTCGGGCGGGAGGGAGGGGATTAGGGCCATAAATCCTATCTCCGCCCCCTCCCCTGACAGCCCGGCACCCCAGCCCCGTGCGGTCCCCCTAGGGATGGGGAAGAAAGGCCCTTGTCCCTTGGCCCTGCCCAACCCCACTCAGGGTCCCACCGCGGGCCCAAGTGGCCCCAGCCCCAGTTCCCGGTCCACCCTAGGGCGCCCGGCCCCTCACCTCCGGCATCGGTCATCTTCAGCGTCTGGCGCCCCTGGAACCCCTCAGGCCCATGGTGCTCGAGGCGGGGGCTGGGCAGGAGAGGGGTGGGGGGACCGTCACCCCGGCCGCGGGGGGCTCCGGGCGGGCTCGAGCCGCTCCATCCCGGGGGTGGGGGTGAGGTCGGCAGGAAGGGTCCCGAAGCCGGGGGTGAATGGAGGGCGGGGGATGTGGGGAGAGGGAGCAGTTTCGCTGGAAGCAGGAGGCGCGGGCGGGGCCGGACTAGGAGACCTGACGGGAGGATGCTCCGTGTGTGTGTGCGTGCGTGTGCGCGTGTGTGTGTGTGTGACAGAGAGAGAGAGAGAAGAGCGAAGAGCGAGCGCCACCTCTCTCCCCGCCCCCGCCGCCCGCCAGGCCTGGCCGGACGCGGGGCCCTCGCCTGGCAGGGCCGATTCGCGCCGCGTCGCGTCGGCCGGGGTCCGCGGGGGTCCCCGGGGAAGGGGCGTCGGGGGGCGGGGGGGCGTGTGGCGGGGAAGCCGGGAGCCCAGGAGACAAAGAGCGGGAGGGAGCGAGGGGGCGGGGGCGGGGGAGGGCGGCGGGGAGGAGGCGGCCGGGCCGGGGGAGCGGAGTTGCCGCTACTTCTCTGCCCGCGGGAGACGCGGCGCACCGGAGTCTGCGCGGGTGGGAGCGGCTGCGGGGCCGCCCCGCCACGGGACCCATTCCGCCTCCTCTGCTGGGTCTGTCAGGGCTCCCGATTCGTTCATTCATTCAACAAACGTCCGCCGAGCAGCCGGGGCGCCGAGGCTGGAGCGGACAGAGGTGAAGGGAACCCCTCGCCCTGCAACCCGGCTCAAGGCCGGTGGGCCAGTCGGGGGCGCAGACGAGTGGGGAGGCCCTCACGAGCTCGGGCGCCATGGGCCCGGCTCACAGAGGGCACTTCTCACCGTAAGGGAGAGCGCACCCTTGGCCCCGCCTGGGTCCCGGCGGCCGCGGCGGGGGCTGGGCGGGGGGATTCCCAGAGGAGGTGATGTGTTGGCTACAACTGCGGGTCGGGATAGGGAAGTGCCAGCGGGTGTTGGGGGTGGGAGGGCAAGAGGGGAAGATAACTTGAATCTGGGGAGGTGCAGGGGGCTTGCACTTTATTCTACCAGCCGCCCCTCGCCCCACCCCCCACACACACATGCACACACACAAATAACAGAGGAGGGAGGGGCTCAGGTGTGCATTTAGGAAGCACCCTTGGCTCCTCTGGAGACAGGATTGCAGAGGGCACCCTGAAGGCAGGGAGACGCTCTGGAGGCTATTGAGGGCCGGTGGCAGTGGGCATAAAGATTACAGATTAAGCTGAGAGCCCTTCAGGATGCAGGCCTGAAGAAGCTGACACTGAAGAAGCTGACAGGATTTGGGGACCTGCTGGACTAGGAGGTGAGGGAGGAGGGGTCTAGGATGACTGTGGACCTCGGCTTGAGGCAGGGAGCCCTGGAGCAGGTGGGGGTGGGTACGGATGAGATCAGACTTGGACCCGGTGAGCTGGCAGCAGTGGCAGGCCAGCCATGGGAGGCAATGTAGGGATCCACAACCAGCTACCGCACGTCACAGCTTGGCAGGTGCCAGGCACTCTCAGATCATCTATTGTCACCCTCACAATAAACCCACAAGGTGGGTGTTTCCATTACCCACTGCCTCAGAGAAGACAGAGACTTAGAAGAAGGAAGGTGCTTTGCTCAAAAGCAAGTGGTGAAAGGCCAGGCACAGTGGCTCACGACTGTAATCCCAGCACTTTGGGAGGCCAAGGTGGGTGGATCACCTGAGGTCAGAAGTTCAAGACCAGCCTGGCCAACATGGTGAAATCCTTGTCTCTACTACAAATACAAAAATTAGTCAGGCATGGTGGCATGCCTGTATTCCCAGCTACTCTGGAGGCTGAGGCATGAGAATTGCTTGAACCCAGGAGGTGGAAGTTGCAGTGAGCTGAGATTGTGCCACTGCCTTTCAGCCTGGCCAACAGAGTGAGACTCAATCTCAAAAACAACAACAACAACAACAACAAAAACAAAAAGGCAAGTAAGTGGTGAAGCTGGATTAGGGGTCTAGAGTCAAGGGAGAGGTGTGGAGTCTATAGGACAGAGTTTCCTGATGGCCCAGAGGACTCTGCAGTCTGAGGCCTCTGGGAAGTGGCCTGTTGAACCCCGACAATCTTGTGACTCTGAGGACGGAATTAACAGCCTTTAGGGTCTGAGGGTATCCTAGGGATTTTATGGGAGTTTGGGGGTCTCTGGGTGTCTTCAGAATCTTCTGGCAGCCAGGAGGCTAGATTGTAGAAATCTGGGGAAAGGGTGACGTCTCTATTGACAGCTGTGGGGGCTGCATCTGGGGGTCTTAAAGGGGGATGTGCTTTGTAGGCATCTGGTGAGCTCTGGGTGGTGGGCTGGAGTGGGACTGATTATATAGCCCCTGTACATCCCAAGGGGGTGGGGAGATGA